CAGGATTTCCAGCTTCTCTTAAAAGAATCAGAAGATCTGGCAACACTGGGCTCATTTCCACCTGGGCATAATTGGTTGGAGCTGTGTCAAGGCTGTCCCGTTAGATGAGGGCTGTGGCCTCCAGGTCCCCACAGTCCCCACCAAGTCCTCTTGTGTCCCTGGCATGGAGGTCAAGGTCTAGCTGCCCCAGAATCACCAAAGAGCTGATGCTGTGGCTTTACTTATACAAGAGATATAGTTCTCTGCGCTGTCTCCATCAGACGCGGGAAAATGAAAGCTGACAACAGAGGGAAGTGGCAGAGCCTCAGTTTTTTGTTTTTTTTTTTTTGTGCGGAAGATCAGCCCTGAGCTAACATCCGATTCCAATCCTCCTCTTTTTGCTGAGGGACACTGGCCCTGGGCTAACATCCGTGCCCATCTTCTTCTACTTTATATGAAACGCTGCCACAGCATGGCCTGACAAGCGGTGTGATGGTGCGTGCCTGGGTTCCAAACCTGTGAACCCCAGGCCACTGAAGCGGAGCGCGCACACTTAACCACTGCCACCCAGCCAGCCCCAGAGCCCCAGCTTTTGAGTTTGCAATCCTGACAAGGAGCAGCCCCCACCCACATCCATCTAGCACCTCTGCTGTGCAGGGGAGTGGGGGGGCCACTGCTCATCCCTTCCCCCACTGGCCCTGAGGCCATCCACATTCCTCCCCTGGGCCTCAAGCCCCCTGCACCCTCACAGGGTCAGGGGCCAGGCCTCAGACAATCAGGTCTCCCCTCCCCTCCCTGGCGCTTCTCTGGGGAGGCCCAGTGGCTCTTTCCCGCCTGCTGCCACTGCCCAGGGCCCTGGCAGGAGTGGCCAGCTTGGTGGGAAATCTGTAGGAGGAGCAGTCATGCCCACGACCACTGCCTTAGGACAAAAGAAAAGGGACAAGGATGAGCTCCCTCCCTTAAAACCAGAATTCACTGGCAGCCTTGGTCTTCTCACCCAAGAGGCCCCTTACTCTGTCCTCCCCCACCTCTTCAAGTGGCGGTGCAGAAGGCCAAACCAGCAAAGCTGGGCCGTGGTGAAGGCAGCATCGGGGAAGGGTGGGGGTAAGACACGTGTCAGACAAGTGACAAGGAATCTGGGCAGGAGACAAGGGCTAAGGGGATGTGTGACTTAGGGAGAAAGAGACAGGAACCAAGGAGGAAACAGTTCTTAGTCATTCTCAGCATACATTTATTGAGTGCTTACTGTGTGCCAGGAAGTAAGCCAGGTGCTAGAAACAGCAAAGGGGCAGGAAGAGTCAGGGTCAGCTACTGAGTTGTCAGTGACACTGCATTGACAGTGGTTAACACGGGGAACAGATGGACCCTTCAGGTCCCCACTGAGGGCCTGGGCTGAGTCCTAGGACAGGGCCTGCCTAGGCCTTTCCAGCAATGGAAAGGGATTCTGCGAGGCAAGACCCTCCCCGTCTCCTCCACCCAGGTAGAGGCACATAGACAAGCCCCTACATACTCCTCTAAACATGTCTACAGCTGACACGCCTGGAACACATCTCAGACTTCAACACGCGCGCGCACACACGAACACGCAGAGGCATGGCCAAGCGGTTTTACCAGGAGGTAGCGTGGAGGGGCTGCCTGTCATAATCTGGGTCACCCCGCACAACAAACCCGTCTGAGTGCCTGAGCACCCACCATTTAGAGATTATCTTGAGAAGCTTTTTGGCCAAGTCTCTTACCGAAATGTGAAAGACATAAAAGCGAACGAGGGGACAACTTCTTAAGGCTTTGCTTAGAGAAGGGTTCCAAGAGGGGTAGCAGTCAGCAGAAGCAGGCCTCACTCCCTTTACTTAGCCACGAGTCTGTCCCAGTCAGAGCTGCCTAAAGTGGGTGTCCTATGATAGGGGAGGGGATGGGGGGCGGGGGTGGTCTGTTCCCTGTGCTATCTGCTCTCCTCCAGGGTCAGAATAATGCTGTTACCTGTTAGTGCCTATGAAGTGCCAGGTCTACTACTACAAGTGCTTTAGGTCCAGTTCACCTAACCTCACGGTGAGGGTGTTACCTCCATTTTACAGGTGAAGAAACTGAGGCTCACGACTTGCCTAAGGTCACCGAGATAGTACGTGGAGGGGCATCTCACCTCTGCTCTTCCCTTCATTGTCTCCTCAGCCCAGGGTGATGGAGCCTCACTGTGGGAAGGGTCGGGGGGCCGGGAGCTGCCAGGGACCCCAGTTCAGTCTCAGATCTGCCCAGGAGGCTGAGAATGACTAACTTCAGAACTGGACATGCTCTCTGCAGAGACCAAGGGGCACAGAGGGTGGCTCCATGCTGGCAGGCCACCCAAGTGGAGGAGGCTGCACCTCCTTCATGACACTCAGGGAGCTCCATCCTCACCCCAGGGCATGGGGTGAGTCAGGACAGGGGGTGGTTGGGGACAGGCTCATAGAGCTGGCCTACTCACCCTGACCCCTCAACCCAGGCGAGGACTGCAGCCTGTGGAAAGCCAACCCCCTCACTTGGGGGGTCCTGGGTTCCTCGTCGTCCTATCCCACGATCTATATTTGGGGGAAATGGGCTCTACCCTTGAGTTGGGCCTCTGGTAACTGGAACAGATAAGGTACCTCACTGCCCCAAGAGCCCATGAGAACACACCGTATTATCCTTCAGAGGGAGGGAGCTGTTGCTTAAACAGCCCTGAAGCCCGATCCCGTTGAGATTTCTGAGAGGTCTCTGACAGCAGCCCCTCACCATAGGATGCCCACAGCGTGACCCCAGCCCCATCACCCACCCCAGTTGCACGTCTGCTCCAGTTCACACAGGCTGACATCAAAGTGCATCAAAAGCTCCACTGGGATGAATGTGTTGTTTGTGCTGCCGTCTGGGACAGTCCTGCACACGTACCCCCAATACTGGATGCCCCCCCGTTTTCGGTGTCGTTGGGGCACAGGGCAGTGTGATGCCCTCCTCAGACCACACAACCCAGGGCCGTGATGAGGAGGGCTGGAGCAGAAGTTCTTTTGACCGGGCTGATACCGGGTACAAGACGGGACAGGATACGGAACAAAACAGAAAGGAACCCACAAGGGCCTGCAACCATACCTGTGGCCTGTAGGAGGGTCGGAACCTTCCCTAGTACAGGCCCAGGTGTGGGAGCTGCAGGCAGAGGCCAGGGGGATTTGGAGGAAGCCAACCACAAAAGGCCTAGACCCGAGTTCAGGGAGACCAGAGAGGAAAGGGGCTCCTGGCAACGCTCCTGAGGCTGGCCCGGCCCCCTTCCTCACTCTGATAGAAACCTCGGGGCCTCATCACTTCCTGCTCCTTCCCACCAGGAGCCTGGAGGACAAAGGGAAGACGGAGGGCCCCAGCCTCTTGGTGCCCTCTGCCTTTGATCAGCCCGTGGTCTCTTCCCTATCCCAGGGCACTCCCCTCTAGGTGTGGGGTGACCAGACTTCACCAGCCTCCAGGGCCAAGATGACTCTACTAAGTAGAGCTCACCCCACTCTCGGAGGAAGCTCTCAGCTCCAAGAAATGCAGACCATGCCTGGATTTGCTCCCTTCCTCAGGCTGTTGCCGCCCTGCTTCCAAGGCCTGGCGGCCCCTGGGGCTGCCACGCCTCATGGTATCTCCTCTAGAGGGCCCTGGCGGCTCCAATGACTTAAGAACCATATGTGAGTTCTGGCTCTAGCCTTAAGCAAGTTATTTCACCTCCTTGGGCCTCAGTTTTTCCAGCTGTAAAATGAGGATGATAGTATCTATTTAACTCCTGGATTGTTATCATGATTCAGTAATAACAGGAAAATATGTAAGCCACCAGCTCTGTATAGTCAGAGCAGAATGACTGGCCCTTGTCAAGGGGTGGGAGTGCAGGTGGCACCTGAGCCATCTGGTTCCCTGCTCCCACGTTCATGCCTTTAATCCCCAGGCATAGCTGGCCCTAGCCTGTTTCCCACCCTGCACTCTCATTTCTCAGTGCCTCCTTCTTTCCACAAAGTGCCCACACCCTGCGGGTGGGTGGGAGAGAGGCAGCAGCTCCCACTTTGGCTGGGCCAGGGCACTGCTGGGGACAGCATAGGCCATGTCTATACAACCTCAATGTTCTCCCAGCTGGAAGGGCTCTGGCTAATCAGCATTTCCCCAAACCTCACTCCTCTTCATCATTAGGTCTCAAACTTCAGCGGGGGCGGGGCACCAGAATCACCAGGTGGGGCTTAGCAAAATGTAGACATTAGTTTCCCTCTAGGTCAGAGGGAAGACCCAAAATCTACATTTTTAACAAGCAGCCCAGGAGCTCCTGCTGCAGGTGGGCATGGGGCCATAGTTGGAGGATGGCTCTGACTGTGAAAACCACTCCTCAGAACATACCACACTCCCTCTTGGAGAGCCACAAAGTCCACGAGCACGCTGAAAGTGCTGCCAGTGCTTGCTGTAAACAAACACACTTGCCTTGAACTCAGCATTTCCCAAATCTGACTGTAAAACTTGCTTTTTAAATTAGAATAACCATTAATATCTCATAGGATTAGCGTTCTGAGGAATGCTTTAGGAAAGGTTGATCTAGTTCTTTTTGTTTTAAACAAATATCTTTTGTTTTTAATATCTGAGTGGACTGAAGCCTAGGAAGATTAGGTGTGTTCAAGGTGCTCGACTGTTAATGCGGAGCTTGAATGTGGGCCTGGGTCTGCCCCTTCCCGGGCTCCATCCCTCACCCCCCACATTCTGCCTGTCTCTTTGAGCCTGAGACTCTCCTGCGGTCCCCCTGTGTCCTGAAGCCTCAGGGTAGTTGACCTGTGACGGGAAATCTGGGTAGGGGATGACAGGGGGTCAGGATTAGCCTGTTTGGCTGGGATAAGTAGCAGAGGAGGGAGTGGCCCCCGCTTTTAAGATGTCTGCACAAGCCCAGTTAGTCTGCAGGTGAGGTGGGGGAGGTCTTTTCCTGGCCCACTGCCCCTCCCAAGACGGCAATCACTCAGAGATGGAGAGCAGCTGCGCAGGACTGGGGATGGCCAGTGACAGGATGTCTTGTCTTGCCTTCTCTTCTCAAGCATAAAACAGGCACATGTAGCCATTAACTGATATGCTAGCAGGGGTGTCCTGTACCAGGAGGAAAATGGATTTATTGCTTTATAAAAAGGAATCTGATAAAACTTAAAGGGAAAAAAACAAAACTATAAACCTAAAAATCAACCCACCCCTCTCAGCACTCCCAACAAGTCTCAGACACATTTCTGGGGACAGTCAAGTTGGGTGGGTTGGTAAGCCAGGCCTGCCTGGCACAGAAAGGGCGGCCTCTCCCGCTTAAACTGCTCCAGGGCTCTGGGGGAGTCTGCCAGCAGGGGGCGCTGCAACCCCACAGGCTCAGACAAGCTCCAGGCCCTGAGCGGGGCTCACTCAGTTGCTGGGCCTGCTGCAGGCCTGGCTGGCCCCTGGGCGGCTCCGGAAGGATAAGGAGAGACACCCAGAGCCCCTACCTACCACCACCCCACACACATTGCTCACACATATCACACATACACACATCCCCCATGTACACACACCCCTAAGCCCCTCACAAATCCACCTCCCTACCCAGGCCTGGACCTCAATGTCTGTCAGCCACAGCCTCACTTACACCCCCACAAAAACAGCTGGGTGTCAGGGGATGCTCTACTGGGGCCCCTTCAATTCCCTTCAGGTCACAGACTGGATGGAGGGTGGCAGTGGAAACTTGCTCCCCACTTAGGCCCCGAGAGAGGAGGTGAGAGACTGCTGAACAGCCTTATCCATGGCTCCGTGTGACCAGCCAGCCCTCTATCCCCTCCCCAGGCTTTAAGCCAGGGGGACTTCTCCGCAGGCCTTTAATGGGAGGACAGGCCATGGACAGGCCACGGGGGGCTGGAATTACAAAGGAGTTAGCACCAACAACAGGAAGCGGGTCCTTCCTTCCTCAGGCAGCCTCCGACTAGCCAGGGGAGGAGGTGAGGGGCCAGGCGAGGGGGGTGCAGACAGTGCAAGCCTTTGTCCTCAGGCAGGCGTGGTCAGTGGGCATGCAGCCGAGGGGCAGGTGGCAGGCAGTGGATGGCAGACCCCTCTGCTTTGGCGAGAGGCAGAATCCAGACACTTGAGGAAGAGAGCCTGCCTGCTGGGGGTCCTCCTAATTCCTCCTGCAGGCACCATGGAGCCTCAAGGTCCCAGGGCCCCTCGAGGGTGGCACAGCAAAGCCCAGGGCAGCTCCTGCTTCCAGCAGTAGGAAAATTGCCCGTCTGGTCTGGGCCCTCTCCCGTCCTTCTACCGCAGAGCTCCGAGGCAGGACTAGGGCCCTGGGAGGGAGCGTGGACTCCAACATGGTGAAGGAGAGGATCCTGGGGGTGCATGAGGGTCCTCTGGGGTGGGGAGGAGGACATCAGTGAGTCACTGAAGCGAGGGCAGGAGCCCACAGTTCTGAGGTGGTGGGTGCTACACAAAAGCCTCCCGGTTGGATGAGCCGTTGAGCTTGAGGAAAAGCTTGTCGTCTTCCCTCTTCTGCTGCAGCTGCCTCTCCAGCTGGCGCCGGTAGCAGATGAGGTAGAGGGGCAGGCAGAACCCCAGCATACTCACGCCCAGCAGCCCCACATTCACCTGCAGAGGCAGGGATGAGAGTTGCCATCACATGGGGCAGGGGACCAGGTGGGGGCCGAGGTCTTTGCAGAGCCCGGCTCAAGACCTTTCCTCACACTCAGGTTTAGGAAAGGGAAGGAGATCACAGGAGAGGAAAGGAAAAACTGAAACTGGAAGGTTCAAGAGATCCAAGGGCCAGTTGTTCCACATTCCAGCATCAGAATTCCCCAGCTGTCCATGGGCCACTCAGCAGCCCGCAGGGCCTCGGCCCCCCACCTCGGACCTGCTGATCTGAACCTCCAGGGGCAGGGCCGAGATTGGGACAAGCTCATAGCACCTGGTGAAGAATCCCAGCTCACAGGAGGGGCGGGGACAGCAACTCGGTTCTATTTATCCCAAAATCAAGTCCAGAAAGGACACTTTTCTCCTCCTGCTCAGCCACTGTTCACAAGGGGACCCCGAATCGGTCCTAAAAAATTTCCAAACTGCCTGTCCTCAGGGCTCAGGAAGCCCCTGAGTGATGCCTCCCAGCTCCCAGTCAGCAGAGTGGGGCAGATGCCCGTAACCCACTGTCCCCCGACCCTTCTTACCCATAGAGGGTCTCCTTGGAGGGGACCCATCATGGCCAGAAACAGAGGCTGCTGCAGGAGAGCAAAGAGTGCACTGATCAGAGACTGCAGTCCTGTGAGGCTGCCAAACTGGGTGGAGGGGTACCTGCCGGGGCAATAGAGAACCTGTCACCACAGTTGCCACTCTCAAGCTTTCCAAGTGCTCCTCGGCCTCAGCCTGGCTCCAGGTGCACTGGTGCCCTCAGGCTGCACCTTCAGTGCCAGAGAAGAGGCAGGAACAGCCTCAGAGAATGGTGGGTGCCCACCCTTGGATTACTTTCTGCTGAGCGGTCCTGCAAAGTAAATTTCTCTTTCAGCCCAGCTTGAGGCCCAAGACTCTGGGGTGGACCCCACCCCACCCAAGTGTGTCCTGAGCCCATGGGTGTCTGGCCAAGCTGAGTGGAAACTGTGCTGCCAGCAGGAGTCCACAGCTTGGGAAACAGGCCAGGGAGCAGGTTGGAGTCTGGGCCTGGCTCTGCCGTACCCTCGTCCAGAGGAGCATTGTGTAATCACGGAAACTCAGCATCACAGCTCTCAGTACTCCCTCAGACCCTGCCAGGGCAGCCGCAACTTCCTCCATGCCTGCGGGGGTGGGGGACACGCAGACCTGGAATGACCCCCGTGAGATGCAGTTGGGAGGGGAAGAGAGATGCTGAAATTCTAGCAAAATCTCAGCAAACGTCACGCTCTGTGGCCCCAGAGGTGGGAAAGGGCTCCCAGCAAGGAAGAAGCTAGTCTTCAGTGAGAAAGAGACAGCGGGTGGGTGTCTGGGTTCCAGTTTTTGAGCCAAGCTCCAGCCCAAGAAGAAGGAACAACTGTGGTTCCCTATGCACCTCTGGCCTCTTGGAAGAGGAGGCAGGTTTCCTTTTCCTTTAGCCGAGGCCTGAGGAGGCTATGGGCAAAATCAGGCCCTTTGAGGCTCTGGGTGAGAACTGTCTGATACATCCTGGGCTCAGTTATCCATATCACTGCCCCTGCTGAGGGCCATTTGAACGTCAACTTTTAGCTTTGGGCAGCCAGAACCCACCACTGCCTTTCCCATGAGCAGCCAGGGGCAGCCCCAGGACTCGGCTGAGCAGCTGTCCCCAAGGCAATAATGAGCCGCACCCGGGCACTGACCCTGGCTGGGAGAACTGACTTCGTGTTAAATGCCAAAGCTTGTGGGCAACCAGCTGTCTGCCCACTGACCCACCTCCTGCCAGGTATGGCCTTCCCCAAACACCCAACAGAAGCCCTGGTACCTGTCGCCTGATGCAAGAAGAGGGGGCAAGCTGGCTCCTCTCACGACCTTAGTCCCACCACAAACCTCCCTCAGGTCATTCCTTCACCCTTGGCCACTAGGCCACCCACAGCTCCCAGGACTTACACGGCGGCATACAGGCCCCCAACAGCAGAGTGGATGAATCCTCGTACAATCGTGTGTAGGATGAAGGAGAGGATCTGAGGGAGGGAAAGCAGAGCATGAGCAGAAGACTGTGAAGGCCCTCACCTCTTCCCCCACCCCCCAGTTCCTGGGGTTCTGAGCAAAGGAGCACTGGCAGCCTGGAGTTGGTTCTTAACAGCTCTCCAGGGCCAATTCCTGAATTTTCAAGAATTTTGTGAGCCAGTTGTTAAACACGGTCATTACTAAAAACTAAATTTTATAAACTTGCAATTAAGCAAATTTATATTAAAAGCAAAGGTAACGAATACTTAAAACTCATCATGTCCTAATTATTTTACTGTGTTTTACTATTATCTGTTCTCTTAACGTTTTTTTATGTCTATTGTATATGTACGGTGGAAACACCACATAATGGTGTGTTACTGTGAATCTCTTTCCAACTCCACAGTCGGTGACATCATATTGGTTGAAATCAGCCATGATCAGAGTATTTACACCATGGAAACCGACAAATGCTAAAAACCAGGGCTCCCCCCCGCCCCCACCTAGAGCCTGCTGTATATATTGGTGCAGCACGAAGTAGGAGGTCACTAATCATGACTCGATCTCCTGCCTTTGCTGACCCGAGGACTGTGCCCAGAGGTCTCCCAGGCCCTACTGGCAGGTGGCTGTCCTTCTCCTCTTGCTAGGAAAGTTCTGCTTCTCGAGAAGGCAGCAGCTGGCAGGCTCAGCAAGCTCCGAGAAGCACTTGTTAATGATTTCTGAGAGGCACAAGAGCTGTCCACTTTGCCACCAGGACCTTTTGCACACAGCTCTGCCATCCTGCTGGGCAGCCAGGACCTGTCTCCAGGAATATGGGCAGTGGAGGCGGCAGGGGCTACTCTCTGTGGAGTTGAAAGAGGGCTGTGCCCGAATGTACATGCACATACTCGTGCAGGCTCCTCTTTTCCACTTCCAAGGTTTTGTGGCCTTTTCATAATTTTTCTTTCAATAAGAACTAAATAAAACAAAGGCAGATGACTGTCTTCCACTGAGCACTGCCTCTTGATTGGACAAGGTGGTCAAGGCAAGGGTCTGCGTCTTGCAGAGAGGGCAGCTACCAGGAGGCCGGGGTGGGGGTGGGCACCAGGAATGCAACAACACCCCCACCCAGAACTGCTACAAGTTTCCAACGGCTTACTCTGGCCTGCACGCACAGTGTCAGCACATACGCATCACAGTACCCGTGGGCGTTGCACACCTGGGTGTTCAACGTACCTCAACCTGTGGCCACTTGCAAAAAGGAACGGACTCTCGCTTTCCTCTTGGACCTGGCCCAAGATACCATCTGGACTTGGGCTACACCCATCTGGAAGCAATCCATAACTCACGTCCCTTCAAAGCTCATAAATTTGGGGATTGGGGCTGGAACACTTTCATGGACCTAAGGGTGGAGCTTAGGCAGGTGACAAAATCTACCTTGCTCACAATCTCTGCCAAAAGTCAGGTTTCAAAAGCATCAGAAATCTTGTGCAAAGGAATTAGGCTTTTGAACCCAGATGCCAAGTGATCATCAGTCTTTTTTCAGTCTCTACAACGTAGAGACCCTGTGGGCATTCTTGTACCAGAGAAGCAAATGTTCCTACCAATGCCACAGACTGGCCAGACCTCTTTGAACATCAGATTTCAGCCGTTTGAGCAAATGCAAAATAAGCAGCCACACGACTACCCCGCACAGTTCCGGGAAATGGCATGATGGTTGTATCCATGGCATGCAAGATGCTCAAAAGACCAAGAAAAATGATATGATTCATAGAGAAGAGTATTCTGTGAAAAGCAATCCCAGTTTCATTTACAGCTCACTCCCAGCATCGAGCACAGAGCCTGGCAGGTAAAGGTCCTTGATAAATAATGGCGGGCTGGTTGGTTGGTGGGTTGGATTAAATGAATGAAAAATCACCATCTTCTTTGTTGATAGCTTGCATGACACATCATGCACCTTTTAGTCTCATTATCCCATACCCCACCTGACCTCTCCCTCTCCCTATACCCACCTGTAGAGGCAGGTTGGGAATGAGGCAGGTCACCCCAAAGCCCACGAGCAGCAGGTTTGTGAAGGCAAAGGCCCGTATGGCATTGTTGATCTTTTGGATCTGCCGGTCCCGCTTCTTCTTCTTCTCGCCTCTGTGGAAATACAGAGCACACATAGGAGCTGGGGGCTCCCGGGAGGAGGATGGGCTCTCCCAAGAAGTCAGGCCCAGGGAGACACATCTTGTGGACAATGCAAGACTCAGAGACCACCCAAGCACGTTTTAGGGACTGTTGGGGTTGGGCCACCACTAGGGACACTCCCCACTGCACCCTCTCGACTGAGCGCTGAGTGTCAACTTCAGTGGAGAGGTCAGATCTGAGAAGACGGTCATCAACACACTGCACTGCTTCAGCGACGACTGAGCTCCAGTGATGGGGAGGGAAGGAGTAGAGTGTGCCCAAGTTAAGGTTGTGGCAAAGCCTCACTTCACTATTGGCTTCAACTTCACCCAAATCCCACAGGGAGCTGATGATAAATCAGATGAGAAGCCAAATAAGGGAGTGAGTGGATTTCCCCTTGCGGGGCAGGAGGGGGTGAAGGAGAAACAAATATGCAGCAGATGGAACTGGAATGGGCACAAACAACCTCCTGGCTGTAGGATCTGACCTAGATAACAGAGCAGTCTCTATAATTATATCCTTGTGAATTCACTATTACTGATTCTAGTCTCACCACCCACACAGACACCCCATGGACAATTGTAGGACATGGAAGAATGAATGCCAAGTGCTCAGAGAGGTGCAGGGAGGCCCAGGCCCACCACTTCCTCACCATGTGACCTCAGGCAAGCTCCTCAAACTGCTAGCTTCAGTTCCCTCATCTATGAAATGGGTATAATGCTAGAACACACCTCATCGCGGTGCTGAGGCTTAACTGAGATAGTGTGCATTAAGTGCTTGGCAAAGGGCCTGATATAATAAACAGCAGCTTATTATATTAAGGTGGAGTCATAGAAGACAGCATGTAACTCATCCTCTGATCTTAGAGCCCAACCCTTATATAAAGTAGGGCTCCAGTACCTTGTTTAATCATCACAATCATGAACAAGTCTATCAACACATATTACGGTTATAGCCACTTACTACTCACACCGAGTGGAGTAAACCTTGCAGGCAAACAGGACTGTGTAAAGATGTCTATCTACCCACTGCGCTACTTGTGCTGCGGGTCTGAGAGCAGGCCTGAAGGCAGAATGGTTTGAATCCAGTTGTCTGCACAGAGACCATCCTCTGGCTTCTCCCCTTCTTTCATTGAGCTCAGTGCTCCCTGAACTTTAGCACACTGAAGAATTTCCATAAAGAAGCAAGAGACCTAAATGTGCGCTGAGCTGAGTGAGCAAGTGTCTTAAAATCCTTGCAAAAGCAGCTGTGCACAGACCCCTCCCGCGCCACTCCTGCTGACTTTGAAACCTCACCCACCCACCTTGTTCCTGCCTGACACCTGACTCCATGGGTCTCTTTCTCCAGGGGCTAGGGGCCGGGGGCTGGGGCACAGGCCCTGCCTACGCACTGGTTGGCATCTTTCTCCTCTGGCTCCTCAGAGGCGGCGTCTTCACACTCCTTTAGCTTCCAGTCCATGACGTAGCCAATGACAGGGGCTGTCAGCAGGCAGAGCAGCTGGAGCACACCAAAGATGGAGGTGTAGAGGCTAACTGGGGAGGAAGATGAACTGCGTCACGGGGGCTGCTGGCAGAGGCCCAGGGCAGGTGCTAGGCAAAGTCTGAGACCCCACAGGCCCTTCTGGGGTCTTCCTCAGACCCCCTCTTGTCCCTGTGGGTTGTCAGGGGAGCCCAGAGACTTTAACCTCTGAAGTCAAAGCTGGAGCAAGGGGCAGGCCACCATACTCTCTTCTCCAAATCCCCTGCTTGTTTCCAAGAAACAGCTAATGAAATCCAGTATGTCACAATGACCTTCCCCAGAAGCTCCAGGAAGTCTCTATGACTTGGGAACCACAAAATTACCAATGCTTAGGACTGATGCTTTGTGTGTGACTGGCCATTAGTTTTCTGCCTCTAGAAATATAACAGGAAGGCACTACTCACAGGGGCTCTGACGTAAGGGCTTCACTCTTCAAAAAGCCTTAAAATTACAATGGGATTTTTCAGGCAAACAGAAGCTGAAAGTTGACTGTCCCACCCCCACCCACAGCTCTGGCCAAGAGGGATGTTTGGAGTTCAAGGCGAGGTGTTTCTTGGTTGAATAGAACTGGCTGGGAGGGGATGTTGCAGTGTTCTCCCACAATCCCCCCGGCTTACCAGTGGCCATCACTGCATCGAGAAAGCGAAAGTGAAAAAGCAGAAAGGAGCGAGGTTAGCAGCAGAAATCTCAGGTAGTTACAGGGAGATGTGGCGTGGAGGCAGGCTAGCTCTGGGCCCAGCGCACACACCATTCCCACCGAGACCTGACACCTGACTCTCAGGGTGCCCGAGGAGGCAGAGCTCGAGCCAGGCTTCTGGGAGCGGACGCAGGAGAGGGCCCAGCACGGGCGCCTGCTGATGTTTTCCTGTCTGCTGGGGCCTCAGTCATGTGCAGCTGGTGCCTCGTCACAGGAAGGCTGGTGAATCAGGCCTGTGACCTCGCTGGGGACTGTGATGGGGAAGTGGCGTGGGTGTGGAAGACGCGGCAGAACCAGGGCCCCACACTGTCATGAGGCCCTTGGTAACACTCTCTGTTATGGTTACCTCCTGCTACCCTCCAAGGGTGGGAGGGGTCAAAGAATCCACCCTGACACCCAGCCAAGCATCTGACACCATGAGTCTCCCCCACACAGCCAGAGCTGGGCTCCCTTCCACCCCACCAGCTCCCTGACCCTGAGGCAGCCCCTCTGGGCACAGCCGGGCTATGAGTGTCTGGTGAACAGCTCACAGGAGCAGGATGGGCAAAACCAATGCCCTGTTAGCCACAGACCGAATTTCCTGGCCCAACTTCCTCAACTTCTTGAAACTGACTTTCTGAATGTGGGAAACAGTTGGAAAAAATTCCTCTTGGGCAGCAAAAGATTTCTCAGAGAACTCGAGTAAAAGGCCATGACTTAGGAGCAGGGAGATTTGCCTTACAAGGGCCAGTGAGAGCCTTTCTCTGCACACTTCAGGCCTCCACCTCTCTGGGCCTGAGAGTTTATAAGAGAAGGTATTTAGACATGGTACATCAGCTTTCCTCAAAGTGCAGTTCGCAGATTTTAATGAGTGTTATATAATAAAACATTCCTGTGGGGGCCAGCCCCGTGGCGTAGCGGTTAAGTGCGCACGCTCCGCTGCTGGCGGCCCCGGTTCGGATCCTGGGCGCGCACCGACGCACCACTTTGTCGGGCCGTGCTGTGGCGGCGTCCCACATAAAGCGGAGGAAGATCGGCAGGGATGTTAGCTCAGGGCTGATCTTCCTCACACACAAAAAATAAAATAAATAAAAAAAAAATAAAATAAAATAAAACGTTCCTGTGGCAGCAACTTGGGGGAACATCATTGGCTAAAACAAGGCTAAACAGGTAATTTTTCCCTGTAGGGCTCGTTATGGCCTTTACTATGTGAGTGTTCCTCCACTTCAGTTCACCACGGGACTCCCATTTCACAGTGCAGCCAGTGCTGTCTGGGTCCCTTAGTCATCTTTCCCTTTTGTTAAGGCTGGATTTCTTGTCCCCTTTAAAAACTGTATTTGATTCCTAGGATATCTTCCCCTAGGGAAAAACAATTAAACCCACAAAAAAGTTGCACACCAATGAGATTGCAATAAAAATGATTTACTGAATGCGTTTGTCCCACTTAGGGATGACTAAAGCTGACTCAGCTCAGGCCCTGAGGAAGTTCTGACTTTCTTTGTAGAATCAAAACCTCTAATCAGCTGAGGACCTTCTGTGCTGTTTTGGGAAAGTGGCATGTGGGTTATCAGTTCTGTTTACCAGACTTAACAAGCCTCGACTGGATCACATACAGGAAACCTCTGCCTGGCCTTGTTTCCCGCTTCAGGGCACAGATCCCAGTGCCGGCCCAATTGCTCCTAAGTCTCCAGCCGTGACGGCCCATCCTCCACCTGGGCACCCAGCCTCTCCACGTGCCAGCTCTGCGGTTTGTGGGGGGAGGAGATTCCTGGCATTGGGTTTGATTGGCATCTTTCAACAAGCTCTCAGGTGTACTCTGTTCTATTCAATGTTTTCATTTACAAACACACTGTCCCCCTCAGGCAATGAAAAACACACACCCCACAGCCCAAACACATGTAGCTATTTTAGTCTTCCCCTCCCTCCTAAACCGGGAAACTCTGACCGGGATGTGAAGGAACAGTTGGGGCTGGCTGTGATGAAATGGCTCCGACAAGCAGTCAGTCCCCTGGATTTCACCATTTCACGGCCCTGCTGGTCCGGCCCAGCCTAAGCCCTTCCAGCCAGCCAGGCAGTGGGCTTGACCTCAGGCGGGCAGGAGTGACCACCGCTCGCAGGGTACCCTCCTGTGGGGCTGCGCACCAAGTTCCAGGGCCACCTACCTATGTCCTGGTCGCCGCTGACCAGGAACTTGAGGATGTTGTTCATGGCACCCATGTAGAAGATAAGCCGCAGCTGTGTGACGCACATGGTGACTAGGCTGAGTAGCAAGATGGGGCTGAACACGCTGTGCATGAACGAGGGGGCTGCTGTGGGAAGAAGGCCATGGGCACTCAGGGAGGGCCCAGGCCAGTACCGCTGTGGCCCACAGCCCACCCCCCATCCAGGGGCCGGGCGCATGGGGAGGAGAGGCCCGATTTGGTGACTAAATCACTCCATGGTGGATGCAAGGACGGGCCCGTGTGAGGTCAAGGGTACGGGTGCTGGAGTTGGGTCGCCCAGTTGTGAAATGAGTTGGGTGAACCCCTTACCCTCTCTGAGCCTTAGTGTGCTCATCTGGAAACCAGGCAGATGGTGCTGCCTACCCTTTCGGGACGAAGTGGGAATTAAGTGAAATGACACCCACAAAGCCCTTAGCTGGTGCTGTCCCCAGGGAGGGGGGCTGAGGCTGTGGCTTCCAGATCTGGATTGCCCATCCCCTCCCTGTCGCCAGGGTGTGGGTGTGGGTGCAGATGCCCCTGCGGACGTCTCAGGCAGGACTGGAAGGTGTGGCCGCGCAGTGAGTACCTGCCGCGTCCGGCTGGCACTTCACCTCCAGGTCGACAGTGGACAGGCACAGCTTGTGGCCCTCCTGCAGCGCCGCTTGCTCCTTGGCGCTCCTCAGGGAGCTGCCCACGCTGAGGCGGCGCCCCACTGTGGTCACCTGCTTGTAGAACTGCTTCCCTGTGATCTTGTGGTCAAAGCCCAGCCAGCTGAACTTGATCTTCACCCTGGAGGCCAGAGGAGAGTGGCCGTCAGTGCTGCCTGGGACCCTGGGCGGGAGGGGGGAGCAGGGCAGACAGTACATCCACTTACGAATAGTCCATGTCCTCCGGCCCCGGGAAGGGCTCCAGGGGCCAGTTAAAGAAGCAGTTGAGGAAAACTAGCCCGGAGCAGCCGGCCCAGACCACAAGGATGACGATGAAGGAAACACCAAAGTCATAGATGACCTGACAAGAACAATGGGGGAGGGGCGGGGCAGGGGACAGAGTTAGCAGAGGGAAGCTGGAGCGGGCAGGGGGCATCTGGCAGCTCTGCTCTCCCTGAGCTGAGCTGTATGAGGAGGCACAGCCCCGTCAGCCTGAGTGTTTCATCATCAGACACTCTGCACCCCAATAATCCCAGCTCGCCCTGGCTTGTCATGAATCCCATGCCTCCAGCTTGGACCAGATGTCACCTCTTTTTCTTTTTTTTGTGAGGAAGATCAGCCCTGTGCTAACATCTGCCAATCCTCCTCTTTTTTTGCTGAGGAAGACAGGCCCCGGGCTAACATCCGTGCCCATCTTCCTCCACTTTATATGGGACGCCGCCACAGCATGGCTTGCCAAGCGGTGCGTCGGTGTGCGCCCGGGATCCGAACCAGCGAACCCCAGGCCGCCGCAGCGGAGTGTGCGCACTTAACCACTTGCGCCACCAGGCCGGCCCCCCAAATGTCACCTCTTTGAAGAGGCCTTCCCCGGGGCCAGCCCAGTGGCATAGCAGTTAAGTTCGCACGCTCCACCTCAGCAGCCGGGGGTTCGCAGGTTTGGATCCCGGGCAAGAACCTACGTACTGCTCATCAAGACATGCTGTGGGGCAGGCCCTGTGGGGCAGTGGTTAAGAGCGCGTGCTTCGCTGTGGCAGACCGGGGTTCAGATCCCAGGCGTGCACCAATGCACTGCTTGTCAAGCCATGCTGTGGCGGCGTCCCACATAAAGTGGAGGAAGATAGGCACAGATGTTAGCACAGGGCCAGTCTTCCTTAGCAAAAAGAGGAGGATTAGCCACAGATGTTAGCTCAGGGCTGATCTTCCTCACACACACACACACAAAAAGCCAAGCTGTGGCAGCGTCCCACATAAAATAGAGGAAGATGGGCACGGATGTTAGCCCAGGGCCAATCTTCCTCAGCAAAAAGAGGAAGATCAGCAACAGAGGTTAGCTAAGGGCCAATTTTCCTCACTGGGAAAAAAAAAAAAAAAAAAAAGAGGCCTTCCCTGACCACTCCCATCACTGGCTCACACTCAACAGCCCTAGCTGAGATTACTGACTTCTTGATTCATTTATTTGTCCATTGTTAGTCTAGCTCCCTGAAAACAGACACCTGCTAGCCTTGTCCATTGACGTTTCTCCAGCATCTTGAAGAATATACATGGTAGCTGCCAAGAAAATACTCAAGGAATGAACAGATGGATGTCTCACTTTGCTCCTCTGTGAAATGGGCGTAACCCTGCCATGTACCCTCATGGTGTTGTTGTAGGCATTAAGCAGGTGTGATCCTGGTACAGTGCTCAGTACAGGGCCTGGCAGGCGGAATCCTGTTATTATCATTTATTTCCAGCACTAGAGTCCCCAGGGACGGGACCAACAGACACTGAGAAGAGGAGGAGGAGGAACTTGTAGGCTCCTCCACACTCCAGGAGGGAGAACCCCTCAAGTCTACAGGAGGGCTGGCCCCTGACCCTCCAAGCCCCTCAATTCCTAGGTGGCCAGCCACATCTGTGACTCCTTCTCATCTGTGGCCTCCCTCCCATGTCCCTTAGGAAAGGGGATTTTACTTGGTGCTGCTGCCAGAGGAGGGAGAAGCCCCTTCCAAAGCACTAGCTTCAGGAGCAACAGGGTCTGGAGTAGGAACGGGCTGATGGACTGTGAGGTGTCTGCTCCATTCTGACCCTGGGTGACTTCCACGGTCTCAGAATCCTGCCTGGGAGGGAAACAGCTGAGCCATCTTGGCTGAGAGCAGCACTCCGGCTAATGGGAGTAACAGCCCAACAAGAGCAGACCTGGGGGTGGGGAGCCTGGAGTGGACTCAGAACCGGGGACACCCACCCCCTTTCCCTACCCCAGCCCCAAAACGCAAAGACAGCCTGCAGGAACACCCTGTAGTGATATGCTTGAATTTTCTGTCCCCCATGGCCCAGTGGGTTTCTTTTCTGACTCCTGTGGTGTCCAGGTGCATCCTCACAGGTGTGGGTCGTGGGGAGGGGCTGGCCCCCGGCACCCACAATTACCTCCCTCTTCAGAGAGGGGTGAAGGAGCCTTGGGAGAGGCCTCTGCCCAGACACTAGTCAAAATAAACGTTCTGGAAACCTGCTGGCCACACTCTCACCTTGATTCCTGGGAAGGTGACTGCAGAAGAGGCATAGGATCCAATCATCAAAGCAATAAATGTAGACCGAAGGTCGCCAAACATGTTGGGCAGCTGAAAGACAAGAAGCCAGGGAGACTTCAGCTGAGAGAATGGCAGGACAGGGGAAGGAGGAGAAGAAGAGAGAATCAAGGCATCCTCAGGCACCATTTCTTTTTTTTTTTTTTTAAATAATTTTTTTTATTTATTTTTTTCCCCCCAAAGCCCCAGTAGATAGTTGTATGTCATAGCTGCACATCCTTCTAGTTGCTGTATGTGGGACGCGGCCTCAGCATGGCAGGATAAGTGGTTAAGTGGTGCGTCGGTGCACGCCCGGGATCCAAACCTGGGCCACCAGCTGCGGAGCGCACGCAATTTACTGCTAAGCCACGGGGCCGGCCCTCAGGCACCATTTCTTATCTGCTCTTCTCCCTGTGTAATTCACAGGGTGTGGGGTTGCAGTGATTACTGCTAATTGAAAGTTTTTCCTTCCTGGACTGAGGTTGATAAGGCGAGGGAAGGAGAGGAATGCAGAACTTGGACTCTGATGTAAAGACAGAGTAGTTGGGCTTCCTGGCTGGCGAGGGTCCCCTCTCTGCTCCGGCACAGGCCGGGGGCCTTCCTGTCTTTGCAGGGTTCCACTGAGATGCCAGCAAGCAAAGTTGTGAGCCTCAGGCATCCCTCAAAGGGAGAAAGCCTGTTAAAGACAAGAATCTATTTGGGGATGCGAGTGTCGTTTTATAAATAAAAATATCAACGCCCCAGAAGGACCAGATGTCAGCAAAAGCTGCTTTTGGTTCTGAGAGAACAGGGTTTTGGAAGGTGCCAATCAGAATTCTACAGTCCCCTTGGGGCTGACAGGGATATGGCCTGGGATTCCTGCTTGTCCATTTCTATATGCAAGGAGGGCTTTCCCTTTCCACCTGACATTCTGCCCCAGTGATCGGCACCTGAGAAGGCAAATGGCAAGAAAGAGGCCACTCTTGGCATCTCACATCAGCTCATTCTGGGCCCATCCGACATGACTTGGAAGCTAAATCCCTCGGCGATTCCACACAAATCCAGGCATGATAAAATATGACAAAACAGTTATGGATTCACAGAAGTGGGGCAAAGTACATCCCCCCAAGCGCCAGTCATGGCTTCTCCCACTAACCTCCACATTGCACCACATGCTGTAAAGCTTTCCCATCTACACCCAAAATATCCCTGGCGTTGAGGATCGCTCTCTGATAGCTAACCTGTCTCACTGCATTCAGGCCATTTATATGGACCTAATCTACGTTCCCCACCCCCATTTGTCTGGAATCATTTTGGGGTTTTACCAAACATGAAACACATGAGGGCCGCCCGCAAGCTAACGCGCTGTTGCTGAACGGAGGCAGTCTGAACTTGGCTACACACCTGCCCCTCATCATTTCTGCCTGTTTTGCCCACAGTTAAAAACGAGTGAGGGACATCATCAAAATTAAAAACTTTGTGGTATATATACACAATGGAATACCACTCAGCCATAAGAAACGATGAAATCCTGCCATCTGTGACAACATGGATGGACATTGAGGGTATTATGCAAAGTGAAATAAGTCAGAGGGAGAAGGTCAAATACCATATGATTTCTCTCATTAAGTAGTAGATAGTAACAATAACAAACAAACGCATAGAGACAGAGATTGGATTGGTGGTTACCAGAGGGGAAGGGGGGAGGGAGGAGGGCGAAAGGGATAATTCAGCACAAGTGTGTGGTGATGGGTTGTAATTAGAATTTGAGTGGTGAACATGATGTAATCTATGCAGAAATAGAAGTATAATGATGTACACCTGAAATTCATACAATGTTAACCAATGTTACTGCAATCAACAAAAAATAAAAAAATAAAATAAAATAAATAAAAACTTTCATGCTTCCAAGGACACCATCAACAAAGTGAAAAGACAATGCACAGAAGAGAGAAAATTTTTACAAATCATATACCTGCTAAGGGACTGGTATCTAGAATATATAAAGAACTCCTACAACTCAATAATAAAAACATAACCTATTTTAAAAATGGGCAAAAGATCTGAATAGACATTTCTCTAAAAAGATATACAAACGGCCAATAAGCACATGAAAATATACTCGATATCATTAATCACAGGGAAATGCAAATCAAAACCACAATGAGATACTGCTTCATACCCCCTAGGGTGGCTATAATAAAAAAATCAGATAATAACGAATGTTGTGAGGATGTAGAGGGATTGGAACCCTCATACACTGCTGGTGGAATGTAAAATGGTGCAGCCACTGTGGAAAATGGTCGGGCAGTTCCTCAAACAGTTAAACCATATGACCCAGAAATTTCACTCCTAGGTATATACCCAAGAGAAATGAAAACACTGTCCACACAAATACTTGTACATGAATGTTTATAGCAGCAGTCTTCATAATATCCAAAAAAGTGGAAACAACCTCAATGTCTATTAATGAATAAATGGATAAACAAAATGTGGTATATCCATACAGTGGAATATTATTCAGCCATAAGAAGAAATGAAATATTGACATATGCTACAACATGGATGAACCTTGAAAACATGATAGGTGAAAGAAACCAGTCACAAAAGACCACCCTATGATTCCATTTATATGAAATGACCAGAAGAGGCAAATCCATAGAGACAGGGAATAGATTAGTGGTTGCCTGGGGATGGGGTAGAGGAAGTGGGGAGTAAACAGGAAGGAAATGCTAATGGGTACAGGGTTTCTCTTCGGGGTGATATAATTGATTATGGTGATGACTGCACAACTCCGTGAATATACTAAAAACCAGTGAATTGTATACTTTAGGTGAATTATATCTCAATACCACTGTTGAAAAACATGAGTAAGGGACTTAAGATGTTTTGGGATCCCACGATTAAAAAGGAATATGAATAAATCTATAGTGTATGGCCACCAAGCCATTTATGGCATGGGGCCAGGGTGGCCATCCAGGCTCCCCAAAGAATTCCCAGCACACAAAGGGCCCTTCTTTCAGCCCCACACGGAATGGATCCTCTGTCCACTCAGGCTTTTCAGAAAGGGTCAGAGGGGGACAAGGAGCACATGGAAATTCCCCCCAGTAGGAGCCAGAGAAAATGTGATGTGCTCATGTGTGCCGGGCACACCCAGGTGAGCATTAAAGGCACCTGGTCTTACTCTTTGCACACCTGCCTCCCAGGAATGCTGCAGTTCAGAGCACAGGCTTCAGTTCCCGAGCTCCCATATTCGGGCTGCTCCATGCTAGCTACTCCAGCAAGGCAGCCTTGTAGGGGAGGCATCTCTGGGGCCATATCTGCCCCAGGGAGAATCCAAAGATTAGTTCCGCTTGTATTGAAGGAGGGAACGATTCCCGCCCGGGATGCCACTCCAGCCAGGGCAGGTGAAGGAAGAAAGGGATCAAAGAGGGTTCAGAACCCAACCAGAAGAGCAGATGGAGGCCCAGAGCCTAGTGTAGAAAAGGCCACTTGGTGCAGAGTCAAGGGAGGGAAATGCTTTTGTTGCTGCAGTCACCTTGGGGCACAGAGTGGCTCAAACTTTTCCACAGACCTTGAGGATACTCCAGAAAAGCAGACAGCTTGCTAGCTAGCCCTTGTCCTTCTACTTAAGCTCAAGTTTGCCTTAACCTAACCCAGGCTAGAGGCCAATACAACAGGGGTTTGGAGTTAGCACGCAACCCTGACCTGATCTTCTGGAGTCTTCTCCCCAAAACTAGATCCAGGACAGGGAAGAACAGGAAGCTGGAAGCAGAGACTGACTTCCCATCTGCCCATGGACGAGGCCCTCGCCCTCATGCCTGGACAAGGGCAGTGGCCTTCCAGCTGCCCTCCCTGCTGCCCTGCCTAGAACATTCTTAGCAATACCAAGAAAATTCTCCTCTCTGACATGTTATTTTGGTCTCCAGGGCCATTTCTAGGGGAGTACGGAGCCTCAGGGCAAACCATACTATACAGCCCTCCCATCAACACCTACATCCTGTATTTTAAATTATGATTATTTTTCCTGATTAGAAAAGCAATGCGTGTCCTTTGAAAAACATTTGGCACAAAGTATACATACAGAAAGAATAAAATAAAAATCACTGATACAGTCATGTTACCATTTCGATATATTTCCTTTTAATCTTTTTCCTATAAATACCTATAACTTTTTAATAAAACTGGGATCATATGCTACATATTGTTTTATAAACTTTTTCTTTTTTACTTGATATATTATAAATGTTTTCTAATTTAGTATTCACCTTTAACATAATTTGTAACGATTGTCTGGTATTTCCTTATCTGGATGGTCTATAATATATGCAACCATTTCTCTGATGTTGGACTTTAGGTCTTTTTAATTTTTATCATAAATAATATTTCAATGAACATTCTTAAAGATAAACATATGTGCACATAACTATTATTTACTTAAGGTAAATTCCCAAAAGTAGAATCATTAGGGGGCCTGCCCCATGGTGTAGTGGTTAAGTGCGCGCGCTCTGCTGCTGGCGGCCCGGGTTTGGATCCCGGATGCGCACCGACGTACCGCTTGTCAGGCCATGCTTTGGCGGCGTCCCACATAAAGTGGAGGAAGATGGGCATGGATGTTAGCTCAGGGCTGATCTTCCTCACAAAAAAAAAAAAAAAAAAGTAGAATCATTAGCAAAAAAGGAATACACATTTATAAGTTTTTGTGATACTCTGTGCCAAACTGCCTTCCAGAAAATTCACACCAATGGCTACTCCGACCAGCAGCATAGTAGAGCATCTATTCCACTGTAGCCACTCCAACATTGTGTTATCATTATTTTGAATATTTGCCACTTCACCAATATCCTTATTTTAAAATCCATTTCTTCATGTATATGGATGAAATGAATCAATGACTGATATTTGCTTCAAAATAATCTGGATGGTGGGTGGAGGCAGAAATGAAGCAAGGCTGGTCACGAGTTGATAAATTATTGAAGCTGCAAGATAGGCTTCATTAGACCATTCTCCCTCACACCATGTACATTTAAATTTTCCCATGATTAAAAAAAGAAATTGAGGGGCCGGCCCGGTGG